CCGGATTACAAACAACCGACCATTTTAAAATTACTGCTGAAGTGTCTTTTCCTGTTGATATTCTCTCAGACGTAACAGTCACATCGAAACAGTTTCGTCCCAATTTTGACACAATAACGTCTTTGTTCGGATTTGGTACGTCAGCATCACTAGTCTTGGAAACTGATAGCTCTTTACGAATTGAAAGCTTGATATATTTCACTGAATATTCGAACTTTAACATATCTGCAAGTTTTTCTCCCATTGCGTAAAGTGTTGCTGCTGGGTTACCATCAATCTGTGTAGCAAATGCCGAAGCATCGCAAACTCTAAGATTAGAGACTCCTTTAACCCGCAAGAACTCATCAGCACATTCGGGCATTTTACATGTGCCTACTGGATGTAAAGCCGAGACTAACATTCCTCGCATCCAAGCATCAAGTTTTTCATCTGTATCGACATCTTGTCCAGGAGCGACTTCACTTACTACCACTACCAGACGTTTCAAATCTTCTCGAACATTTTCACCAAAGAACATCTCACGAAGTAATTTAACTTGTTCTCGGAAAAGTTTGGAAATCTTTTTGAATTCCCTTGAAGGAACGCCGTCCTTAGTGTATGACCAACCATATTCAATCTCAGGTTTATCAAAAAAATGAGATGTAACTGGTTTAACTGACCCACGATACTCTGGCCATTGGTCAATAATACGAATTGTTCCCTGGATTGTGTCCTTGTCTTGTGATTCATCTTCATCTTCACCTTGATCATTATATTCAGGAGGATGTGCTGTACACAATGCGTCCATCTCGTCGAACAGTTTAGAGTTCCCCATCACATACAGTTGAATATCCGACATCTTTTCAGGTACGCGTGTGATATTGGAACGATAATGTAAGATCCAGGAGAATGGACCATTAATGGATTCTAATTTCTTTGTTTCGTAGATGATGCCATCAATATTGACTTTAGGTATAGATTCGGTTTCATTCGTACAACATAACTCCAAGGATTCTTTGCTGAGTTCAAGAACATACGGTACAGAAATATGATCCCATAAATGTTCTCCAACATGATCATTTTCGGCCACAACTTCTACGCCAATTTTTTCAAGATTTTCTCGTGATCCAACACCACTAACTTGAAGCAAATGAGGTGTATCAAAAGAACCAGCACCTAAAATGCGCATTTGCTAGTTTCACTTCCCCGGTCTTTTTATCCCAATATGATACCCCCAACAGCCTTGCGTTCGCCGTCAAACAGGATCTGTGTAACAGGTGCAGAAACAGTGAGGTAAGGTTTTACATCATTGTGTTGGTAGTACCCAGTGTAGCTGCTACCACGAGCTGTTTTAGATGCACGAATTTCTCTAGCTTCAGTGCGAAGTTTATACTGCTGGAAAACACTACAGCTAATTCTATCGCACTCCGGGCCATTGTAATCATGTTTATACCCTTTCCATGGTTTTTCCTTGTCCTCACATAAATACTTCATGGTTCTTGGAAAGTTCTGAAAAGCTTCTTGTATTTGAGAATTTACTTGCATAGGTCCACCTTGACCATGCCACTTTTCGCATTCTTCTTTCGATATCCCGGTAACGTTCTGAAAATCATAGAAGCAATAATGATCTTCAGATTTCTTGTAATAATGCGTCATCTCTTCGTGTTTCCAACCATTAGGCCAAAGATCTAGAACAGCAGGACTAGCACGTCTTACGATTGCGCCATATACACGTGAAGTTCCTCCACGACCACGAAACCGTGGGATGTAAATTAACCGGCCATCTTTGTTTGCATTAATCCATGAGCCATATTTGTTCTTCACCAATGTTTGAAGTGTTGGTTGGGTCAGCCACAATGAATCATGAGGACTTGTAAATTTGTAGCTATTTGTATACCAGCCTAAAAACCGTTACCAGTAGACAGTTTTAAATATAAAATATAAAATAGAAACAAAACACATTTTGATTTTGAAGATTACATCATCAAGCACAAAGATATAAATTAAAGCAAATAAATGTGTTGATTGCAAAATCGTCATCAGACGAACTGAAGTTTTGTGTACCTGTCATTGCGTTTTCCAATGGGCCTCTTTCAAACACACATATTGTCCACGAATCAACTTCAGCAAGTCTTGCAGCTAGACCAAGACTAGATGTTCCAGCTCCAACAACAATGAAGTCACACCATAGTTCTTCATTACCTCTGTTCAAAGTAGTGTAAAAATAATAATTTACGTTTTGGATAACACATTTCTACTAATGCATAGGAGCAAGAATATAGTCGGACTTCATACACATATTACACACATAATACTAGAAAATACATGCATGCAGAAACCCCTCGCCTTTCTTAACATCTTAACCATAATATGCCACGTGCAGTGGCTTTAAACCTGATAAAATACTCCTAATTAGTATTCTTTATATAAGGCCCGTTTCATACGCCGTACTTCACATGTGCCGAATACATTAAAGACAATAGATAATGAGCTGAAATTACCTATTGTTTTTAATGTATTCGGCACATGTGAAGTACGGCGTATGAAACGGGCCTAAAGAATACTAATAATGTAGTATCTATTGTAGTTGTGTCCTCATTAGTATTCTTTATATAAAGAATACTAATAAGGCAGTATATCTTATAATGTTCCGATATTTACAGTCAAACCGGATGTTCTGTTTGCAAGTTGAAAAATTGCAAGTTGAAATTCACAACCAGGATTTGTAAACAAATATTAGAATGTTAGGGTTTGTAATCCAAGTGAGTATATATATACATGAACTTACGGTTACAGCTCAACAGCTGGCCTCTGTAGCTCAGTTGGTTAGAGCGCTGCATCGGAATCGCAGGGCCGTAGGTTCGATTCCTATCAGAGGACCTTGTGCTGCATTTTTCGCAGTCGTTCCTGCATGGTTAGGTCTTAATTTAAAATGTATATATACTCACTTGGATTACAAACCCTAACATTCTAATATTAATTCCACCAAGTGAAGTGCAAGAATCCAAATCTTTGAAGTCCATATATTTGTAAACAAAGTCTCTGATTGGTTACTAGTAGCAAAGAAGAACCAATCAAATACTCTGAGCAAATGGATTGGTTCTTCTTTGCTACTAGTAGCCAGATACTTTGTTTACAAATCTGGTTGTGAATTTCAACTTGCAATTTGATTACGTCGGTTGCAACTTGCTCAGAGCAATAAAAATTGCAATATTCCCAACAATATTGCAATATTCAGGGGAACATATACATATATATATATATATATATATATATATATATATATATATATATATATATATATATATATATATATATATATATATATATATATATATATAATTCAGTCAAGGTTTGAATGTTTGCGTCGCTACTCTGAGTTTCACGCTTTACGCGATCATCAGGCAACTGACAGATATTATTCAATATTCATAATAAATACAGAGTAGCGACGCAAACATTCAAACCTTGACTGAATTAATTCCGCTCTACTTATTATGGTATTGAGCGCTCTTCTACCTTACGTCAACTCATCGACTATTTTTTTGAAAATAGTCTTCAGTATATATATATATATATATATATATATATATATATATATATATATATATATATATATATAATTTCCCTACCCAGCGCAAGCAGAAAGATGTTGTCTGCCGCGGCTGGGTTTTGAACCCGTCTGACCGTGTAGCTCAGTTGGTAGAGCGTTGATCTAGTAATTCGAAGGTCGCCGGTTCAAGACCCAGCCGCGGCAGACAACATCTTTCTGCTTGCGCTGGGTATGGAAATTATATGATAAGATAAACTTGAGTTACTTCGTTTAAAACATTTATTCACGACAAATTTATTTCGTATCACTGCATGGCAAACTAGGCTTGCGCTGCAATATTCGGAGTCGTGTTTAATTTAATTTATGAATTCTGCTGAATTGAATTGCTCGGCGGGCTAAACTACTTACAGTAAATTGATTTATATGTAAATGAAACATTTCAATGTTCTACCGTTTTTGAGCGATTTATTTCAAATGTTAAACTTTAATTTTATGTTACTTTTTGTTCAAACAGTGTCTTGATCTGGGATAACAACAACTGCATGCTACACACTGATATAGTGTGGAACACTGGAACTCGTCAATTATTTACCTGACGTTTGCAAACATGGCTAAGAAAAACAGCAATCCTTTTGATCTTTTGGCCATTATTCTATAAGATATATAGAAACAGAATAAAATACTAGAGGGCACTCAGAGACTGCATACCTCCGCCTACGCGCAAAATATTGAAGTAATCTATTGTTATTAGAATTTGAATGGCTGGTGCATATATTATGCACGTCCTAATTACGCATTCAGTATAAAGTTTTATTTAATTGACGGGGAAAAGCAAGACAAACTTTTGTTATTTCTCATTCAATTTTTAACCAAATTCAACCAAATTTTAATCAGTTCTTCCGTAGCCGATGGGAAATGCACTCACAAAATTTCGTACGGATATGTTTGGTATTTCTTGAGTTATCGTGCTCACAGACAAACACACACACATACACACACACACACACATACACACACACATACACACACACACACACACACATACAAACCCAGATGATTACATAACCTCCTGGCGGAGGTAACTAACCTCGGAAATGCCCGGAAGACTTACACGTAAACAGTCGTTTTCGAAAAAAGTACTAACAATTAACCAGAACATAGCGGATCAATCAGTAGCGTAGCCAACCCAGCGATTTAGTCCCACTATGCAAATTTTCGTGTTCATTGACTGTGAAAACAATCAATTTCTAAAGGAATGAATAATGTAATATATAATTTTGAATTTGCATAGCGGGACTAAATAGACTTTTCCGGTAATTACGTCACAGCTATATTGTTTTCAACTTAGGACCACCTTAAATACGCTTCAAAAACTTAGAAAAACAAGTATATGTGATAGAACACTCCTACGCGTCATAAATAGTACTTAAATGGAATGGATTTCAAGTTTTTTTCTCACTGGCTATGCGCAAAGAAGCAGAACATCCTTCTTTAACACACGCATGATAAAACATTTATTATTTTGACCAATAAATGAGGGAATAAGCTTTAACACGTATAGTTTAGTCTCACATTTATCGGTCAAAATAAAAAATCTTTTCATGCATGTGTTGAAGAAGGATGCTCTTCTTTTTGCGCATAGCTAGTGACAAAAAATCCATTCCATTTAAGGTGGTCCTGAGTTGAAAACAATGTAGCTGTGACGTAATTACCGGAAAGGTCTATTGTCGGGTTGGCGACGCCACTGAGCTCAATAGCTAGGGGTGTTAAATATTTGACTGAAATATTCAAACTTTTGATAAATATGTTTCATACGGCGAAAATGTTTAGATAACAATGCATTTTTGTAGTTCTGGTTGCGTGTCGCTGGCGACGTCGCAAATTTTTTTCCGTAGACAGTCGGACTCTTCATTGATAGTCGGACGCATCATTGACTAGCGTCCAGGCCTCCGCGCGGTATCGATAGATCCCTTCGTAACCCACTGGTGCACCATATATCCATCACTCCACGTTGTTCTTCTTCAACCACGTGTAGTAGTGATGGGCGATACCAGGATATTTAATTCGATACTTAATTCGATACCGATACTTTTAAGATCGGTATCGGCCGATACCGATACCTATTTCGATACCAAAATAAACACAAAATTTCAATTTTCGATACCGGAAGTGAGTACTTAAATTGCTAGTATCGGCTACTTTCGATACCTGCCGGTCAGCGTAAAAA